AAACACGAATCCTTGGGACTTTAGCGAATCCCAAACAGAAGACGCCACGGCGTTCTGTAGGATATTAGTTTTTATTCATGCTTGTAAATGCTACGAATTAATTGCTGTTTTACTGTTATGTTGTTGCATAATTGCCCATTGTTACACCACGGCATAGTTAATAGAGGGGAATGGTTACATAAAGCCAACAGAGTTCATTGTGATATGTTTTTGAACATTCGCTTTTTTTGGCCTTTATTGTGCACAAAACACAATTGTTTCATTCTGATTGATGACTAAGCAATCGTACCGTTTCTATTTAAGTTATTAAGGCATAACATATGAACGCAAAACAAAAGATTTTACACGGTCATGGGCCTTGCAAATTTAAGTCTTGTCATATTATTTTTTAACCATTCCCCTCTATTAACTGTGACCGTAGCCTGCTGTTTTGCGTGGCTAAATAACAAAGACAACAGTAAAATAATAAATCCCTTATTGCACGGGTTCGCGGTAGATAATGGTCACGGACATTTTGTAAGCAAGTCAGTTTTGAGATATCGTCGCGCACTATCTGTGAAACATCAAATTATCTCTAATTATTTACGGAGTGACTCTTCAGCAGTCAGTCAGAGCGAATATTAATTACTGTATTTGTAATCAAAAATGAAAGCTTATTGAATGAACCACTCTCCCCGTTTTTGTTGAGGGGAGGGGACGGATGTACACGGGCTATGGGCAATTTGTGGACTGAGGGTCTTAATAGACTTGCCTTAGATCGATGATTTTAACTCATTATAGGACGAATTCGAACGCGAAGCATGAGTTCTACTGATACGAAAATTCAGGCTGGGAGTTATACGCTCACTGTTCGCTCGCGGTCTGTTTGCGCACAAGCGTATAGTCTTAACGAGCCAAACCTATGGATCTGTAGAGCTAAAATCCAGGTTTTTAATTTATACTGTGCTATCAATGAAACTTATTTGCACGGTTCGGCTAGCGGTCCTAAATAGACCATATTCGTACTCCCGGTATTAGACTGGAACTAGCTTGCAACTGAGGCTAATGCGGGGAGTCTTGATAGTCCCCCGCATGAGCCTCGATTGCAAGCTAGAACCGAGGATACGAGTTGACTGAGACTGCAGTAGACTCTTCCACTAGCAAACGCGAGGCGGGCAATATTCCTTTACGCCTGAGATAACAATCTAGACCGTTAAATTAATGTTATCAGTAAGGTACAATGCCTTTGAAAGGTTTTTATTCATAAGTTCGTTCGTCACGTGTCCCAAGTGTATAAGCTAGTATCGCCATCATAAGCGTACGGGCACGTTCGGACTTGGAGGACTGGATGGCGACCTTATTACCCGAAAAAAATACACAATGCCCGAAAGGGTGAGTATTGTTCAAACGCGCTCAAATCGCAGTAAAAGCAAAAACGTTCCTTGCCCTTATGTCTTGTTCGCAGTCTCGTTTACCTGTGGCCAAGCCACCGCAGGCGGCGCTGGGTCAGGAGTGCAAAAATGCTTGGGATGCCTTGCTTGGTCGAGAACATTCTTGTTTGGTACACGATCTTGCCACGTGATACCCATAATTCGCCTGAGGTTGCGCAAGGGAAAGGTGTTGAGCCTGCGTTCTTGGCGGGATTATAGAGTCCATGACTCGCTGCCATAGAGCAGAGCACTGAGCACACAGGCTTGGTACACCAGCATCGTGGTGTTGATGGTCGGCATGCGGTTGTGCCAGACCCTCATTGCCGGGCGGGCCAGGGCCGTCTCTGCTTTGCTGATCCGCTTGTTGGGTTCGACATCCAGGTAGAGGTTGCTGGAGATAGTAGAGTCGAGGTACGTGAAGTCCTCGACGACTTCGAGTATGAAGTCACCGATGGAAATGCTTAGGGTGCTATTCAAGTCTAGAACCACGAAGCCTCGCTACTCCCCGCTCTTGATTGGGAAAGGGCCCGATGAAGATGGACTGGACGGTGCCCTGCACGTCTTCATGAAAGGACGCGATCATCCTCAGGAGCTTGGGGCACTTTGTAGCAAAGTGAAGAGGCCTTTCCTGCTGATTAGGTCAAAGGCCTTGGTCAGGTCAATGAATACGACGTATATATAACGGCGGTCTCTGCTCCCGGCATTTTTCCTGCAGCTGCCGCGAGGTGAAGACCATGGCAATTGTGGATCTTCCAGCTCCTAATCCGTGCTTTGCTTCAGAGCATACACGTTCAGCAAGTGACAGTAGTCTGTTCAGGACTACGCGCGCGTAGGCTTTCCCAACAATACAGAGGAGTGAGATGTTGCAGTCATCACGATCCCCCTCGTTCTTGTATAGATTGGCGTTGGCGTCGCACATCTCCTGGGGCACAGTCCCTTCTTCCCAGCACTGTAGTCGCGGCTGCTGCAGGTGGTGGAAGAATTCGAAAACTGTCTTTTTCCAGCCTTGAGGCCGTATGCTAATGATTAGCAACCTGTAATTCTTGGCTTTGATGGAACTGGCCCGCTCTTAATTGACGGATGGATTCAGTTTCATTAGTTCCATCACGAGGACCCACACAACAATGTAACATCTGAAGAAGGGCGTTCTTAAATTCTGATATTCTGAATGGATATATTATTACGTTTACAAGGGAGTTGCTGTTTTGTAAAAACTTTATCGTATGAGCAGTTACGTTAATGTAAAGGAAATCTCTAATTACAGCAAAGTATAGCAACAGAGTCTGAATCTGAAATGGCAGCCAGGTCAAAAGAGAAGCTCCTGTAACAATAAACAGCGTTTTCGCTAATCTTGTCTCTCTTACCACATAATTCTGGTTATCCATCATTGTTGTTTGTTTCTTCCATACAACAAGATACGCTATGCACATCACTAGCAGAGGCGTACTCAAGAACACGATAAGAGAGTACACGAAGCTTTCTAATGTTATGATAGAGAGGTAAAGCAGTAACCTTATAGAAGTGAATATTGCTGTGGTGATCCATGGTATGGCAATAGTAAATATGTAAACACGACAGGTTAGAGTTCTATGACGAAAAGGCCAACCTATGGCGTACATTCTCTCCAAGGAAATAGCGGTAAGCGTGAACATGGAGGAAATGCCAGTAAAACTGTCGGAGAATTGGTACAAGTCGATCCACAGCCGGGGAAGCGGCATACCCCAGTATGGTATTGTATTAATAGCTATGTACATAGGAACACTTAGCAGCCCAACCAGTAAATCAGCAACAGCCAAACTAATCAAAGGAAAATGAGCCCGTTTACGAAGTCTCTGCTTGAGAAATATACAGATGGTAAAGAGATTTCCAACAACGATCAATGTTGCTAATAATCCAAAACACAAACTCCACACGATGTTCCATGAATTAAAATCCATCACTGAAGGCAATGGTTCCTGGTGATTCTTCTAGTTTGCACCCTCTGTGAAGAAAAAAAATCGAATGTAATTTAGCTAGTACTGCTAAATTGATTACAGGAAAGGTGCATACAACATGCAAAAATAATCAGGCAGTACATCTCTACCTCAATACCTCATTAATTGGGAGCTTGATACCTAGACTGTAAACGCACGTCCTCGATCCTCTTTAACTCCCCTCGCTCCTTATCCCCCACCCCTCTACTCAAGGTCTCAATTGTGGGAAGGGCTTAGAAAGTAAACAAATGCTCAACTACATGTTGCTGCTTGCTGGCTGGGACGTTTTCAAAGACTGGGAAATGGCACTTTGTATACATTTCTCCCGGGATTGTGTAACAACTAAAACGTTCTCAGTAAATTGAAATATTCGAAAAAGAGCTACTTTATGGTTTACGTCTTGAGATTTTTGTTGTATTGCTCGATCATTTCTGAAAAGCTAGTCAGCTTCTATCTTATTCCAGATTCAATCAAGATATACAAATAAAAACTAAGAAAAAGAATCTGGAATTAAGAGAAAAGAGAGATACATCTAGAAAAGGAATTAGTTTAGAGGTTATCCTTATGTGAAAACTCCCTTAAAAAAAATACAATAAAATCAAAATTGAAATTAAGATCCTTGATTGCAATTAAATATTTAGCTTCCACTACATCTCTTGGTAATTTATTCCATAATTTAAGAATCCTAATATCCTGCGGGTTTGGTATAAAGTTTAACTCTCGTAGACCAAGTTATGGCGAAATATAAAACGTCTTCAAATTTCAAATGGTCAAAACCAAAACGTATCTTATAACACTCAACTAAAGATAAGTAAGTGCAACGTCGGACAGAGTAGGCCATTTCTTTTGCAGTTAGCATCGGTATTCGTATGACATCTCACCTTTGCGTTGATTAATGCTAGTCTTGATGCTCTTCGCTGCACATTCTCAAGACCACACAGGAACCGCATATTCCAAGTTTGGTCGCACAAAAGATTTGTTAAGCATCGAATGATAATTAATAGTATTTAACTGAAGTAATGAATATTTTAGAAGAAACGATTTGGAAATACATGAGACAAGAAATATCATTGATAAAAATCTAATGAAAAAAATGAAATGCTGTGTATTCAAGATAGAAATATAATGAAACGATGTGTATTCAAGATCTTAAACCAGCACTGAATGTGCAGTCTGATTCTCTTCGTGCTAAAATATTCATAATTGATCAAAGGTTAAAGGGCAGATACATTTTATCATCGGTTTCACAGCAGCATTATTCTGACCTGAAAGTGAGCCTTTATTCGTTTCATGATAGCTGATGCTTGCAGTAAAATATATTATGAAATTACTTGTTCTTTTGTACCTCTTTTTGTAGACCAAAAGAACGCTTAAGGATATCTATAGTTCTTTGTCTAAATATTCCAAAAAAAATGTAGCATAATGCGTTTAATTATTCAACAGCAGTTTGATCACATTCTTTAATTCGGCTCCTCGATCTAGAACCATCGTTAACAGCTTACTAAAAGAACTGATTCGTTCTTCCTTGTTCAGTTCTACTCATATATTACTACTGCATGTCTACGTAATACTGAAGTACTTTATCTCCTTTAATATGTGACACGTAACGTGGAAACGGGTTTGACTCAGCATTGAGAGCAAAACTTTCATTTCAATTTTAAATGTTTAACTGCATGGCTTTGAATTTAAATACGATGCTCTCGAACGGCACCCCTCCCAGCACTGGGCAAAAGGAAGGTTTGACTAACCGGTAAAACAATGTTCTTTTCTAAGGAGAGGACAAGCTTACAGTAATGAATTAAAAAGAATCAGTAAAGAAGTTTAGATCAGAAAGTCACTTCACCTACCTTGTCAGTAGAAGAAAGGTCTCAGCGCTAATGAACAATATGCAGCTGACTGCAAAGATAAATTTCCTGTTGCTTAAGTAGAAAAATTTGCATTTAATGTAACCAATATGTCAGTATATGTCAAAATGTTAAGTAATAACTAGTTGAACATTTTCCGCTGCGATTTTCAGCTGTCTGCAGTTCCGCGTAGTGTGCGTTTCGGCTATCCAAGAAGCCGATGTATGATCTGTGGTAACAACTATTAGGAGATATTCTGGACACTCTTTAACCTGCGTTCTTTTCTCTATGCTTTAAACAATTATCCTTTATAAGTGAAGATTATTATAACTATTATTGTTAATAACGTTTAAAATAGTTCTCATTTTGCATTCATACTCGACTTTGCTTCAGTACTTCGAGAACATTAAAAAAGCAAGTGATTTGCATTTCAGTAAGCACAAATTTTGCCCAAGTAGTGTAAGACCTTTTTAACTGATTGGAAAATCACTTCCAGGTACAACATTTCGAAGAATTATAAAGATAACCGATTTTATAATCGGTCTTAGGAATTAACTATAGTCACCACGAATTTCGTGCCTAATATTTGCTGCTTTCTGACATTTTTGCTCCATCAGTCTGTTGAAAAATGCTAATTTAGTTACGACTTCCTTTCAGCGGCTCGTGGTTGCACAGCCACTTTGACAATGTTATACCGCAATTTATCATCAGTAAGAGGACAGACGCATAAAAAACTGATGTCAATTTGTTTTTTACAATAACAAGATCCCAAACTGGTCAAATGCCGGGAATAAATGAGGGGAAAAGACGCGGAAACTTGCCGTAAACAACGGATAAGTGAATTTTATTCAAAACACGCGAACATTGTCAATAGCTTTTCTCGCTTTTTGATTGGCTACTTAAAAAAGTCCATAAAATCAAATATTGACAGTTTGACAGCTGAAATTTGAACTTGAAAGCTTGCATAAATTAAAATTTTATGCGTCTGTACTCTTATTGATGATAAAAATGAGCCAATCAGCGCGTGAGAAATTAGACAGTCATTGTGAAAAAAATGATCGAAACATGACACACATTTGAGCATGCGTATTGTGTTTTGAGCATGCGCAATGAACGTTAGTTCCCAAGCTCTCGCTGGCCTGACTTAGTTATCAACAACAAGAGATTATCAAGGTGCTCACCTTGATAATCTCTTGTCAACAACTAACACTCCAATGTGTGTAACGCTCGCATCGAACACAATAAGTTGTTGATAACAAATAGTTGTCGCTAAGTGTCTAGTCTGTGGAAGCCCTAAATATAACATCAGTCTTGATTCGCCCCACTGCTGTGCTATTCATAAAAGAGAAAACGCTGAATTCGACTGTTTCTGATCAACTTTTCCTATTTTATGCTCGGTTGAAACACTCCTTTGGTCTGAAGTGTGCAAATTGAGCTTTTCCCCAGCCAAAGTCGACTAAAACTTAATATATTCACTTTGAAATCACTGGTTGTCCTTTCAATCTGATTGGCTCTCAGCGTGCAATTTATTCACGAATCGAATTATTATCGCATCTTTTCCTCGACCAGCCAATGAGAATGGGACAGAAAAACAAAACAATCAATCAGATTTCAAGGGTAGCTTAAAGAGACCAATAAGATTGCATGAAAATGAAAGACAAATTTTGCAACTTTTATTGCCAAAACGTTTCTTTTTTAAAACAATTGACCAATTTAATTAATTACAGTTTCTGAATGACGATACTGAGTTCCTTACCATTTTTCTCTCAGCAACTGAAATGGTCCTTTGATCTGAAGGGTTGAAATACAGCATTTCTGCAACCACAATCGACGAAAAGACGGAATGTATTCACTTTTTAGCTCTGTGCGCCGCGATGGCTTACCATCTCACTGATCCGGGAGACACAAGCGCATTGATTTTTTTGGGTTCAAAATAATCATAAAATAAACTTCAAAGGAAACTTACTCATTTTATTTTGTACAAAAAGGAACGGAGATCGATTATTGTCGACCATGCTTGTTTTTTTTATTTTATTTTTTTTATTTTTATTTTTTTGTCGGGCACGATGTTGCGGTTACTGATATTTCATAGCCAGTTAACATCTACGTATATTTTGAACGAGCTTTCAGCTCAAATAAAAGGTACAAATGGAAGTTTAAATACATGATAACCTTCAACCTTGATTGATTCAATACTCAAGTGTTCTTTGATAGCTGACAGAACACGATCGCACGCACGCGCATCGCCTATAAAAGGAAAACGTACTCTTGATTTTTCCCATAAGCCATAAAATCATGTTGCTATATAACATTAGCTACACTACGTTTGACGGTCATTTACTAATTTACGCATTTCATGGCACATAGAACTAGTTACGTACACAGAATCGCATCCGGATACGCGTCACAGCTATCACAGCTGGTCGAGTCGTTCATTGCAGCCATGGACTGAAGCAGTTGGCATGGCAACTTATACCTGGCTTATGGTCCTTACGGCTGTGTCGTTTGAAGCTCTTCTTTATAGTGACTTTCAACCAAGGCTGGAACATCTTACTCGTTAAACAAATTTGAATTGGCTATTGCTATTCTTGCACGCAAGTGCATTGGTCAATAATTACGTTCGGTGAGATGACAGAGAAACAAAGACTCTATAATGTTCCCGGGTAGTTACAGCAGGGTCGTGGTTAACAGTGAATTCCAAATAGCAGCGATTCGTGTCCATGTTACTTTTCATTCAACCAAAAATTCCCTTTTGCATTTCCAGAAATTATCAGTGGCGGATGGAACTGGAACAGCTCTTTCCGGTATTTGGGAAAATTGGGATAACCTCGGCAGGTATTTCCTTATTTTAAAAAATTTCTTAGAGGGTGGCAAAAGTGGGGTACCAATCACGCGCGCATCACGCTGAATTTTGCTACTAAATCACGCATCACGGATCATGCATGCGTGATCATGCGTCACGTAAAAAGAAGTAAGTACATCACCAATTTTACTTTCTCGACTCCCTAGCTCACAGCGACGGCGGAAAAAAATCCGGCGGGGGTGGAAAAAAACATTCCGGCGAGCGAAGCGAGCCGTTAAGCGCGAAAAAAAAAATTCCGCGAATTCCGCTCCCCCTCGTCACCATTCCGCTCTCGGCTCTGCCCGCTCGTCCTAGACCACACTTGGCTAGTTCGCACTAAATTGAGGGTGGCAAAGGTGGGGTACCAATCACGCATCATGCACGCTGAACTTTTCTATTAAATCACGCATTACAGAGAATTTTTTTTCACCAATCACTCGTCACGTAAAAGGAAGTAAGTACATCGCAAATTTTACTTTCTCGACCCGAAAAGCGTCGAACTTTCACGATTCAACCACAAAAATGCATCGGCAAATATGTGACCTCACGGGAAAACGTTCCTTACGGTATCCGTTCAGAAGGCTGAACGCACGGCAAGATTCCAAGATATCTTAAGACTTCTTGGCTCTACATGAGTTGATAACCATAGAATATAATGAGTTTAATATAACGTATGTGATATAAAGTTTGAATATAACGATTTAATGAAATGCAAACTGTGAAGGTAAATGTGAGGGATTCATGAGACGTGGGCTGTGTAGGTATATATATTTTTAGAATTAATACGATGAAAGCCGAAAGCTGTGTAGGTATACGTGGGGGATAGGTGAGATGTAGGCTGTGTAGTTATATGTAGGGGATTAATGAAATGCAGGCTGTGAGGGGATATTGGGGGCATATTTTGGGGGGGGGGGGGGTTGATAGATGTGTATATAAGAGAGATGTGTATATTGCGGTGGAATTAACTAGCCGCCCAACCATCCGGGTGGTGTCGCACTTATAAAGCGAAAGAACAAAAGGCTTCGCTGTGAGCCAATGAGAAAGCACTGACGTCATAGCCAAACCGGACAAATGAGTTTCTGACACAGGCTGGATTTGATTATTCAAAATGGCGGACATACCTTCAGATTTAAGACTATAATATGCTAATTTGGCAAACAAACAAACGGATAAAACACGAGCAAAGCACAAAGCAGCCACTTAGGATGACAGACCGCAGTCGTTAAACAAGTGTATCGACCTTCCAGCATCCGAGATGCAAATATAGGGATCTTAACAATGACGACGGCGACGCCGAGAACAACGCCTTGTAAAATTGAATTTGTCCAGGATGCCAATGGCTCTAAAACCTCTTTCAGGCTTAATATGTAATGACAGCGTTCAATTCTAAATGGAAATACGAACAATCAGCAG